TAGAATCTAAAAATAGAATAATATACAGGGTGTTCCATTTAAAAAAATACAACTATACTATTTTGGGACACTCTGTACTTTGTAAAATTATTTTTAATTTGTAGCTAGTCCTTCAACGAACTCAAAACTTACAATTTGTAAAAATCTAATCGTTTAGCTACAATACTCCGTGTCGTATGTGGTAAACAACCTTGTACCGTATGATCGAATAAAAAAGGCGTCAGCGATGGAATAACGATCGATGACATTTCCCATATAATTTTACATCTTGTCAAGGTGTATGTAGCGCTAAAATGTATTACTAGTTGCCTACACAACCGCAACGTGTCAAGAAAAATGGCGCATCCGCCAGAAAGTAAAATACATTTTTAGGCGCCATCTCTTAATCAAGTCGACAAGTAAGCGAATCAGGCAATGGAATTGTCCAGTATGAAGCAGAACGCTCTCCGAGAATTGTAGAAGGTTCAAGAAACAGTCAGTAGGGGTATATAAAGGCCCGTGCTTGGCAGTTAGACCAGTTTTGAAGTTTGATTATACCCCGGTTTAAATTATTACGAATCGGACAATTTGGCAATTTTATAAAACAATTTTATAAGTAGTTAATTGTGTGTTATTAGTATAAATTGTGTGTAAATTGTGAGAAAAATAAATCGTTAAGTATTTTATCGTGAGTTTAAATTAGTGGACCCACGGAATCCGTAACAATATAAAATGACAGCGATCTTCATTTCATAGCCATCGCTGACGCCGTTTTTATTCGATCATACGGTATAATAATACAGTAGTATCTCCCCGGATTGTTTTTACAAGATGAAAACCTTTTTTATTATTGACATTTTGTGAAAAATGCATTCATTATAAAAACAATTTTGCTGGTCCTAAATGGTTAATCCCATTTACAGATTTCCAAATTTCCATACCGTTTTAGAAAAAAAGCAAATAACAGTGAAAATACCGTTGATTTTTTTCCAAGTCCTAAAAATCAAAAGGCATGGTAATAGCATTTCGATTTCATTCTCTCGTAGATGGTTATTATTAATTTTGATTAATGTCATATTTTTTAATGTTGTTAAAGTATCTCATTTTCCGATCACTTTTATCACACTTTCCCCAGCATTGGATAAAATATAAACTTTGTGCTTTTTTAACATTTAAAACGGCAAATTATATGACGTTAATTAAAATTCTATCAATAACAATCTATCAAAGAATGAAATCGAAATTACATTACCATAGAAACACCGTTTGATTTTTAGGATTTTCATTTTTTCATGCTTTTTTTTTTAATTTTCTCTAAAACGGTATGGAATTTTGGAACAGTAAAACAAAAAAATTGTAAAACTGGGTTAACCATTTTAGAACAAGCAAAAAATTTTAACAAAAATGCATTTTTCTCAAAATATCAATAATAATTTTTTTTTCTTGTAAAGACAATCAGGGGATATACTGCAGAACAATATTTCAGTAACAAGAAAAATATAAAAAATATAAAAATATAATGACACCAATATTGTATAAATAAAATTATACTGAACTTACCAAAAGAAAATGAGAATCATAGTTATAGAAATTATGCAAAAATTATCAACAATTTTTATTATAGTAGTTAGATTACTACTGATAATCTTTTACAGTTAATCAGTTCTTATCAATAACGATTTTATCAAGAAAACTTTATATTAAACGCCTTTCCATTAAGACAACTCCTAACAAAAAGCGATTAAAACAAAGCCGTTTTATTAGAAAATGGCGCGAAAATCGAAATTAATAACTGGAAACGGGGGACCGAACGAGATCCAGTTCTGGATCGAGACTGGAGGTAATTATCCGCCCGCCCGAGCGGTAATTTATATCATCAGGAACGAGATGTCGGTAATTGCCTCCAA